GAGAGAGAGAGGGGGGGGGGGGAAAGAGTCGTGTTGTGCGTGGGTTGTTACCTTGCTATTTTGAATCTTGATCCGGGGTGCGTCCGGAGGAGGTTAAGCAGCACCATTCGTCGTACACGTGCCCACGCTTCCTTGTTTGTTGTGCTGCAAGAACCTTGACGACTCCCTTTTCCTTACTTGCCCAAATACCTGCCTCATCATTGGACAGACATCCAGAGGCCATGGCGGGCCAACTCCGGTCAACCACTCCTATATACAAAGTAAGAGAAATGCGTAGTAATGTCCTGACTTGTTAAGGAAAGACAAGAATGCAGCATGGAATGAATTGGGAAGGTCATCATCCTAAGAGCAGTTTCCAAAACTTGTGCAGTATAGAAAGGAACTGAAAGGTCAGCATCTATCTACATTGTTTTATACACAGCCACAGCCATCAAATATGTTGTGAACTTGGAAGAACATGCATTAATGTGCAGACTGATCACAACTCACCTCTGCTGCAGTTTGGCCATTCCAAAGATTGTTTGATCCTGTCGCTGGTTGAATCCTTCCTTAAGCAGCGTATGGTTCAAAAGCCTAGCATCAAACAACCATAACATACTTCAGGTGTGGTCACAGGTTATGATAGATGGCAGTACTAAGAAACAACAATACAACTCAGATGTATTGCTTTTGCCGATGAACAGTAAACTATGATAATATAACAGTATGGTTCTTGTAAATACCCCCATTGAGTTACTATAGCTGCACATTGCTAAGCGGTCTCTACAAAACATACAAAATGGTAGAACATGTCATATATTTTATGAAGAACGCTGGCCATAAATCAATTGATGCAGACAAGTTCAATATAAAACAGGTAAATGTAAAAGCTACAAAGAACAAAACATTGCATCTGAACAAAAGAAAAGAAAGGAAAATAGAGTACTACATCTATCTACAAACCAAGCATGTAGAGTGTAGAATCAGAATTCTGAAGAAACAGACCTTGTTTATCTTTCGTTTCCAACAGCAGTCAATCCAAGAAACCTGTTTTATGTTTTTTGGAAAAAGGAAAACTTATATTTCTTAAATAACTTGGAACAAGTTAAAACAAAACTGCTGCCAAGGTTTGCCATGTTATATACAGCAGTAAGTTTCTCTCTAGATACATGCCTAAATTCAGCTAAATTGAATCCAGGAACCAAAGTTTTAATATCATTCACCAAAGCTTTCAAGTGACAGGCTGATGACCAGTCATGTGAACAAGGTTTAGACCATCGTAACTGATCCTGATCTGAATTTGCCCCTCCCCTTTGCAGCTTGCAGTCCAGTAAGAATAGCAGCCCCCTCTGATTGAATTGGCGATATTGCCTTTCTGCACGCAGAGCCCACAGCTGCTGGCCACTGTTTAGCATCCCACAAGGTGTAACTGATACCTGCACAGCCAGACAAAGCATCAAAAGAGCCATCGCAGTCCAGTAGAAATCCACTCCAGCATTCATCATTTCTATCTGCATTGACTCTAATAAGAGTCTATCAGCATTCATCATTATTAATCCAAGAAACCTGTTACAAGTACAAATAGTACAACTTTAGTGCCAGCAATGTGATACCCGTAGAAAATATGGAAGAAAAAAAAAGAATATCATCATACTTTCTGAAATCTTCTCTTGAAGACTGCTCATATATATAAACAATCAGATTTGTCAGCTTGACACCTGTATCAGGGATACATACAAGGTTAGAACAGCTGGTCAGGATGTATAACTTAGAAGGAAGAAAAGATTTATCAAGATATTATCCAAAGCGTTAAATAATATGAACATTGTGAGGAAGCACAGCCAGAGTTTTATATGATAATGTGGATTAAGAGGAAGTTTTTCTAAAACAATTGTAAGGTTGGTCGTGTTTTGTTCATTGAAATGTGAGATAGTCAGAAACCAACATGCACGAAAAGTTAAAAGTGACGAGATCAGAATACTGGTATAGATAATCAAGAATATGAGAAAACATGGTATAAGAAACATATATGTTCATGAACAGTTGTGTAGCCCCGGTAGAAGATGAAAAAAGAGAAACCAATTAAAATGGCATAAACATGTCCAAAGCCAACTTATAGTCGATTTACTAAGACAACATGAATTAATTAGGACTAGTGGTGCGAGAATAGAAAGACTTGAGACAAATTTATTCAAAACAACATAAAAGGGATACGAAAGCCATTAAGTTGACTAACAATATAACCCAAAAGGAACCACGTTGGTAGGAAAGATCCATGTAGATGTATTACATGATGTATTACACTTCCTAGATGCCTACACATGCTTTTTATACCATCGGAATTACTCGAGGAATGACGAATACTCGTTGGAACCTCTTGCTGCTCATCCATAAATATTTTGAGTTAAAGCTGGGATTTGTGTCACTGCAGATAGCACAGATGCTAAATAATCAAATGAAATAAAGGTAATAGGAAGGATGAGTTACCGAGGCTTGATCTCTGCAATCAACTTTGATGCAACAGGGACACAGCCTGACAGATCTGCCACCTCTGGAGGAGTATTGAAAGTGTCAGCTCCACAAGAGAGACACCACCTGGTTATCTGATCCAATTCCTAAGAGGTAGCAATGCTATCAGAGGAACATTTACAGAATGCAAAGTAGCAAGCTCAATAGGAACTAATGAAGCTCTTCAGCAAGAGCTCGGAGTTCACCAACGCCATCTTCGCTATATCCCATCATCCTCAGAAGACATCGCCCACCAGACAAGTAGGCCAAAGACGATTCTCAACCATCAGAAACAAATCAAAGAATGCCGTGTACAGAAGAATAAAAGACCAGACTAGATAGGGACGGAGCTCCAACCCGTCGATCTTCGACGGACTGTCGGAAGGAAACTTCAGGAGGCAGAGAGGAATCTGGCTTCGGTGAAGTGGGTGGTTATGAGGCGGCGAGCGGGCCTCAAGGTAGCCCACGGCTTCGTCGAGAGTATCTCCGGCCGATGCAGAGAAGGGCACGATGGTGGCGTCGTTCACCTGGATCGGGAACATAGGAAGGGTTAGTGAAATCGAGAGAGAGGAAAACCCAAGACTTAGTGAAAGCGAGAGAGAGAGAGAGAGAGAGGCTCCGGACGATCGATCGCGATTGAAGAGGTGAGTGATCTTTGGAAGGCGTGCGAGGGCAAAGCGGGGCGAAGCGGCCGGAGATGAGGACGACAATATCGGAGCCCCGAAGCGTTTGCGAACGCGATCTAAGACGATGAACTTGTTTAGATGGCAAAATTATGAGAATTCAAATCTCTAGACGGCAACGAGGATAAAATAAGTTTGAAGGATGCACGTAGTTGGGAAAAAGTGCCTGATTGACAGATGGAACTTGCGCTCAAACCGAAAATACCTGAATCAGCAGCAGAATGCACCTTTCGGCAACAGAAATAAAGTGAATCTGTTGAATCCAGAATCTGTTGCGTTATTCTTCGACTCAGAGGCAGGAGATTTATACCATAGTGCATAAAGGAAACAAACAAATTGTTTTACTTGCTCCCAGAGACTACGGAAAAAATTTGTTATGTGGTAGTGTGGAAGCAAAAGATCTCCAAATTCAGTGAACCAAATTCGTAAACTCGGAATCTTTAATAATTTTAGTTTGGACGCTAATAATCCAAGCAATTTGAATACCAGAAACCACATTTCAAATCCTTTTCCACCATTATATGCTGAGAGGAGACACATCCCAGACTCGTTTGAAACAATCTCTGTAATGTTGCATGGCACCGCGAGGATACACTGAGAAGGCCACCATTGCTGGAGAACCTTTTGGGCTTCAGATAAATGAGATTGGATTAAGAGAAAGAATATTTAGATTAAAGATATCACAGACTTAGAGGATTACAGGGACGCGGAGGCCATCATAGCTTAATTGGACATCCAGACCCTCTGACTCCAGCAACTTGGCAAGCTCTTCATTTATCTCATCATGGTCCATCAAGTGCATCATTCCTAGTGATTAAAAAAAAAAAAATCTACATATCAGAGGTTTATAGTTCAACTTTCCAAATAATTTAAATCATCTCGTGCAACAAATACTTGATGATAATACATTAATAGGCTTTGTAACAAACGTATGGATGATGTTTTTATGAAGATGACACAAAAAATTCTTGATTCCTTTTCTAGATCATAGAAGAATTGATAATAAAAGAAATTCCAAGAAGACTATTAGATAGAAAAACATAGGCTGTGAAGCAACCGTATCTATAGAAAAACACAAATTTAGTAAAAGCCAACAAGCTTGCAGTCAAATGAAAAGATGGGAAAAGAACACAAAAATCTTAAATATGACAGAGACATTAAGGCCTGAGTAAATGGCATTTTGTTGATCTATGACAGACATCGTATTTCTGGAATTGACATTTTATTTCTCCAGATTTTCACTTCATACTCCAGCAGACAAATGCTTCTCAATTAATCTGTAAACTGCTAGATCTGTGAACTTATTTCATACACTAGATAGCTACATTAACCTCATCTTAATTGTTTCAATAACTTCACTTATCGTAATTGTTTTGACAGATCCATTTGGAGTCTTAGACTGCAAAGGAGCAACCTCATTGAAACCAAGGAGTACCTCTATACAACCTTATGTGCATGATTTTATTAATTATTAGTGAAAGCAACTCCATGTTTCTTTGGTTTTATTATTCTTTACTAAAGCTTCTAGCCTGCATTTTTCATGCATCTATACCTTACCTAAATCGACACTCTTCCCTTAACTTATATTAGAAGCTATCACAAACCATAGAGTAACTTCACTATGATACCTTTGCCTTTTTGATATCCGGCATCTAAAATAACATTTGTTATTTCTATATTTTTTCATGCTCAATAATGAACCTTTTTTTGTACTAACATGCTCTCATCCCCCTTAAGCAGGATGAGATCAAGAAAAGCATACTATTGCACTAAAATCTTTTCCCCAAGGTTGTCACATACCAGTAAAAAGTGTTCTCCTTGGTTGAATTTTGCGTACTTCCTCCAGAGCCTATTCAACAATGAAGTAAACAAAGTTCACAACTTGATTGAACTTCAGCACTGATATAAACAAAACAAAGCAAAAAATGATATCACTTACCCTTGGTAATCCGAAGTGTGTTGAAGACGAACGATCTGGTCTTAGTGCATCCTGAACAATATTTCTGACGTAATAACCTTTGAAGAAAAGAAGCATATAAAGCAAAATTTATCCAAGCAGAAAAGATACTGTACCAAGATTAGAAGATCGCAGTCTTTAAGGAGCATGTAAGTCTCTTCTGGTATGTCACTGACGTCACTGGGCACATAAAAAACTCAGCCAAGTAAAGTTGCATCCAAACCCAAGATACAGGAAGCAAGTACTTACCTTATATAACAGATATCACCAAAACGAAATCCTAGAGAACGGTATCCATGCCCATGCCAGACAGGTAAAGGAGTAACCTAAAGCAGACTAGTCAATCACTAAGCAAATTGTCTAGAAACTTTACCAAGTGTAGTAAGAACATAAATACATAATTCCACATCATAACCCTCCTGTAAAATGTACAAGTCCCAAGTTTTACAGTCTACAGAAAAACTGACTATAGAGCTACATTTATAATCTCACTGACCCAGGACAAAGCTACATATTATGAAAATAAACTAGGGTACAACAACTTCCACAAAGAAAAATATTCTAGCCCTTGATTAGGTTTTCTGAAGAAAAGCACAAGGTTCTATTGCTTAACCAAAAAACTAAAGGTGCATACTGTATGTTCAGAATAAGGATAAAAGTAGTTGTATAATCTTGTAGCAAGTATTGAGAAGTTTCAATAGCTTATTTAATCCAAATTCGTGCTAGTGCAAGAAACAAGGATTTAAATCTTTGTCTGGTACCAGTTCTGGTAACCTGCTTGACCGGTATATTAATGGTGTAGTGGACAGTATCGACCAGTACAGTCGGTATCATTTCACAAAATAATAAAAAATGAATGGGTTTATTGTACCATTATTGAACTATATGTTCTGATACTAATACTTGGTTGGACCTGTGGACCGGTTAATACTTGGTCAAGAGAACTGAAAACTTGGCAAAAAACATTATTTCACATGAAGAGAAGTCATGATAACTTTGAAGTTTGAGTTTTAGTATGTGTCCTAGATGAGAGGCATATATGGTACAACAGAAGGCCAAACAAAAGCATCATATGATAATCAGGAAAATTGCAATAGTTTAACATCCTAAAACTTAATTTTCATAAATAAAAAAAAACTCATTGGAATGGTACTTGAACCGACTGACCTTAAGATCATGAATAACAAACGGTTCCTCATTTATCACATTGAACTGCAACTCTGACACAGCAGCGCCAGGAACAATTACACTTGTATCCACTATATAATAATGTGTCTTCTTCATCACCTAAAACAAATTGAAGAAATCCATATTAAGAATCTTAGATATTTTATTAAGTCAAAATTTGTGGTTCTCTACAGAAACAGAAAGGCTTTACCATAGAGGGGATGTAGGGCCACCTATATGAAGACACATATCGGAAGAGAAAATCACTTGAACTATGGTAAAAACTAAAAATGACTAATATTATCGATTAAAATTGTTACTTATTATTCAAATAAGAACTAATATTATTCAAATAAGAACTAGTGAAGATACGTTGCAACATTTCCTATTCTGTAAAACAGTATAATAAAATTTGTGGAGGAAAAAGGATAATAATAAATCAGCATAACAACCGCAATATCAGTTTCTTCCCATTTTCATGAATGAAAAAATTGCTACAGAACTAACATCAAGCCAATCATCCTTGCTTTAAAGTATAATATTAACCTCCAGCAATACCAGGTCTGTTGTAATCTCCAAAATAAGATGGAACTTGCTGAATGGCAGCGAGAGGAGGTAGGAAGTTTTAATGATTTGCAAATCTTACCAAATTCAAATTTACCATAAAGGAATGACATTCTGTAAGAAAAAAAAAAAAGGATGACCATGACAATATGCCATGAATAATTTGTGAAGTCCATGCATGTGTACAGAGCCAAGCTACTGTTTCATACCTCAAAATCACGTTGTGCCACATAAATTGGGATGAATGGTTGGACGTTGTTTGTCCAATCTCGAAGATCATCAAGCCCTACATCAAGAATCACTGCATTCAGTCAAAGGAGAACTGATCTCTCACTCTCTCATCCAATTACTCAAAACACACCCACTCTTGTGCACAAGCAGAAAAAGCGAATTGAACTCCACAATCATCACTTGAACAATTATACAAATTTCACTTGTCAAAAGTTAGGCAAACTAGTAAAGACCTACAAAATAGTTTCCTTGTGGAGGACATCTCCAAGAGGTGTAGTTGTGATGACCATAACAATGTTAAAGAACCTGAAGATGTTTTATGCTACTATTTTTCGCAAATAGAAGAAAAGAGAACCCCATTGGACTGAGAGATCCTATTTCGATAATTCATGTTCATATGTGGAGCAAAATCTACCTGAACAAGGATGGTGAGTATCATATTTCATACTGAAAATCCACTTCAACTAGTACTAGTGACAAGGTTCCTTCAGGAAAAAACATTCTTCTCATACTAGAATATTTTACAGGTATATAACCAATTATTTGTGCCTGTAGGCTTTGAACTTCCCCTGATTTGCTTGACCAACCACTTTATGTTATAATGTCAGCAACTCTGATCAAGACCCAAATATCAGAGATTCAAGAATTGATAAATTACGGAACCATTATAATATGTTCATACATTCCTAGCTCTGCATCTTAGTTAATACACAAGAATTATGCATATTCTTTTGCTAAAACAATTTTTTTCTCGAACAAGTTATGCTCTAGTACATTTTTGCCTTTAACCTTATGAAATAGAATGGGAGGGGGATCAGATATCAAAAAAAGAAATAAAGGGGGTCTTGAAAAAATTGGACAGGCTGGTAGTATAGTTACATGAAAATAATACGATGTTAGAACATTAATTCATGGACTGGACACTGATTAAATTTCCTTTTTTTTTTGGCCAAACATAGCTGAAGAGTAATAAATGAAAGATTCTTCTTTATCATAAAATTTGAATGCTGCTTGACAGCTATAATCCATGAGAACAAGTTGGAAATGAAGCAGGATGGATTAGAATCTGTACTTATGCTAACACTGACAAATTATTCATCCATCTATACATGCATCAAGGTCTACACAAACCACACTGTTCAGCCATAAGAAATGAGTATTAATCATCATATGATCAATAAAATAGATAATTGGATGAAATAAGGTTCGTTGTACCATAGCATACCGCTTGGTATGAGTGATACATACTGGTCTAATAGGGGACCGATGCAGTTGGTGCATATCGGTATGTTGCCATGTCCCACTGCACCATGTGTCGGTACATCAGTATAGCTTAGTATGTAGTATGTATCATACCGATAGCTGATTGATACATTGGTACGGACTGATAAGACGAACCATGAGAGAAAATAAGTCTAAACAGAGAATTTAAGAACCTACTAATAAGAGAAGAAACTAAGAGTTTCAGCATAAATATTTTTCCTAGTTTTTCTTGTTGCAATATTAAAAATTTTTGCTGTCATACATGATAAAATTGCTATCTAACAAAAGGCAAGCCAGATGTTACACAAGTTTTCTTGCAGTTAAACAAGAAGGTAAATAAAAGTATAAAACATGATCACATATTACTGCTGGTAGATAATATGATATAAGTAGTAATATACTGGCATTTCCCAGAAATTTAGAATCCAAACTAAAAATAAACTAGTAAAGTTCTTCAGATCATCATGCAATACTAGCAATGACCATGATTCAGAATTATTATCAATAGTAGAAGGAATTCTGATATGAGGTAGATACCTCCAATCGCATCTGCATGAGAATGGGTGATAATGACTGCATCGATATGTCGCAGCCTGACAAAGAATAGTGAATTAAATAATTAAAACTAGAAACATTCTAGAGATAGCAAATACATAAATTAGAATTAGAAGCATGTTAAAGATAGTGAATACAGTAATAGATACAAATTTAATTATCGCTTCCAGCACAACTTAATTAATAGGATAACATGTATCTAGCAGAAAAAAAAATTAATGCAAATTTTACCGACTAAAAAAGAGTTGAGAAGCACCAGTAAGATGATGTAAAATAACATAGAGCATGTAAAAAATTTCATTATCATCAATATATCTGCTGATAAAAAATAATATTCTCAGTTGTGATTGGCTAATAAAAAAATTGTGTGGCACTTTCCAATGCATCACAATCCTCAGATGCAACTTAAAAGGTATGATTCATAAAAGGGGAAATGTTTGAGATCAATCATCAAACAAGAACTTTATCATGCACAGGCTATTTGGTATATCATGTTTAAGGGACTGAAAGTAACATGAAAGTGCATTTAAACTATCATAGAACACAAAGAAAAAAACTTAATGAAAGCCTTGGTCATGATATTTATCCAATCTAGTCAGGTAAACACTAGAGGTTAGTCAGGTTCCAGCCAAATCAGGAAAGCTGGTTCATTATGGAAACTTTGTGAAGATTACAGTAACACTGATTATTGGTTATCAATTGAAATTTGACCAGCATTATTTATGAATTAAGCCTAGATACAGCATTGGCGGGAGCCTTACCATCCCTTTTTGTTCTGAGAAATGATAACAATCCTGGTCACCAGAAATTTCTTCTAATTTTTGAGACAATAAAAGAGAAATGAAAAACAGATACTTGCAGACAGCCTGCCACAAACCGCAAATGATCTCTTTTATAGAAACTTTAGGCACCCACTTCATTGTCATTCTTGTCAAGCAACAAATGAGACATACAGTAACTGGGGTCCATGAACATCTTTTTGTTATTTTCATGATCACAAAGTCAAACTTACATAGAATATTAAAAAATTCTAAATATGCCAAACACTAAATAAAAAGGTGGCAAGAAACCGTTACCCGTATGCAGGAAACCATCGAAGAGCACTGTGGTAGAAAAACCTGCATTTACAATTACGATGTAAGACCTATAAGTATAAAGCTAGTTTTGATTACATGAAAAAATATATTGATGCCAGCTTTTATGTGCAATGCAGATCTAAGAGTTGTATCTTTTACTATGTCTGTCTGCATTCTTAACCAGCAAACTTATCAAATTCTATGCCATATGTCAAGCTGGTTACAATATCCAATTTATGATGGTCGGTCACTGAAAAGACCTATGTAGAAATAAATATTCAAATACTGTAACTGCAGAGTATCTCAACTTGCATAAAGGAGTGAAGTTGGTGGAGAAGCATTAAGGGGCGATATAACATATGATACTAGAGGATAGATGAATTCGGTTAGAAGCAGATCGGAACATGCTTCAAATGAATGTATATGGGTCCAACTTTGCATGTGAGAGAAAACATAGTTAAATTTGATGCATACTTGCCAGCATCTACAAGAATGTTAAATCTTCCCACAGAATTGACATAGCGTATAAGGATGCTTGTATTAAGTCTCCTGTTCTTGTTTCCTGGCTCAATTGCTTTTGAGCAAACCTGAAAAATGCAATCATCGCTGAAGTTGACACCATAATGAGCCATACAGTAATGGAAACTCTTCGGAGCACCCGGCAAACTCTATTCAGAAAGCTAGAGAGTTACAATCTTACCTTACAAGTTTTTGACTGATTTGTGAGGCAGCTCACTCGAGGAATCCCTTCACTTGTCCCTGTGCCTATAAAGATGATTTCAGACTGGTCCTCAGGTGCTTGGATTTTGGCATCTCTACTAGCAAAATCTGAAATGAAGCAATAACAAACTGTCAGAAACAAGTGAAGGTAATATCATTCTTAGGTTATAAATAAGTTTAACTGAATCCAGACATCATTTAGTAATATTTTCTAAAAATTCCTTTCAATATTTACTTTCTTTCAGTCAAAAGAAGAAGATAGACACCATATAGTGAACCGATGAAGACAAAATGGGTTTGACATCTGTACTTATTTTGAGGACACAAGTCTTTAGCCTTTAACCTTACCTGGAACGTGCACATGAAAGATGTCGAAATTTACAATACCAAAGATTCCATAATTATATAGCTGGCCCTTCCGTAAAGACCGATGTTTTACTCACCCAAGAACCTTTATGTAAAAGAAAATCCAAGCACAGCCAAACATTCTCGAGCCTAGGCCACTCGAGTAACACATACAAGAGAATAAGTTTTTACACTTCTTGATGTCGGATTGCCGGGGTGCCTCAACACAATCCTCCACCATTATGTGAATCACTGAGGTCCTCATCAAACACTAAACAACAAACCCTGAATATTACCCTCATCGAGTAAAAATCAATCATAGCTTGGAATGTCAACCTGATCTACATCTAGTTAGCAATACGTCATTTCATTTGATCACGTGAGCCACAACCCTGAGTGACTAGGGTACACAGCTTCCTGCAAGATGTTGTGGATCAGATCGTAAATTTAGTGATTGGATCTTAAAATCCATAGCAACTTGAGCCGAATAACATAGGCATCTGAGTAGATGCTCTCGAAACCACCATAGATGCAAACACGTGGAAGTGCCCAAATCCAGAATCCCACTAAATCACACGTTCGGCACCAGGTCCAGAACAACGTCCACCCAGGATATGGATGGAAACGATATACCGAGGCATCTTCCCAGACATCCTCGAGATATACTAATGTACTCAAGCAAGCCAAATAAAATTCCTTCACCACCACAAGAACATCAAGAACGGCTGAACCGGTGCCGATCGTCGATCATCTTCCAAGAGCCTCGAGGTATTAAGCCGAAACAGATCATTCACCAAGGCGTTTGCAACAAACAATAACGAATAGAAGGAGAAAAAGAAGGTTTAAGATGCATCGAAGAAGGACCCATCCTAACTGTAGAAGGGACGCGGCGGGGGAACCCGTGGACGAGATGAAGGAAGCTGAAATCGCCGAGGGGCAGCGGGGCGGCCGAAGGGAGCGCGCCATCGGGCTGCAGAGCGGGCAACGAGGGAGCGCGCGGCGGCGGCGGCGGGAACGAAGGGCGGCATCCGTAGTGCCGCCGCCATGGAGACGACGGCTCTTTCCCACCAACACTCGCAAACCCGGACGCATTTAGGAATCGGTGATTGCGATCCAAATGTTCGGTGGGTGCCCGCTCATGCTCCATGGCGATCCCATCCGTCAGTCTTCGTATAAGTTGGAGATTGACGGTTGAAGTCACTCTGCTTCAGAAAGGTCGGTTTCTTTCGCCTCTTACGCACGTTTTCACTCAACTCTACAACCCTTTTTTTAGGCCCTTTAATTATTACGTACATAACGTTAGCCTTTTGTTTTACGCACAATTATCAAATTAATAAAGATAAAAATAATTATTATTTCATTGATGTCCTCTCTAAGATAAAAACATTACAAACATGTACCTTTAGGAATAATGTTTCCAAACATAACTTCCAAATGTATCTCTAAATGTTGCAGATATTTAGATTAATTAATATATTATTTTACGAGTGATAAATTTTATATTCAATCTACGTGTAAACATCATATATATATATATATATATATATATATATATATATATATATAAAATTTTCGATCATTATGTCGTCTCCCATGTGCATAAATGATAAATTTAGACTACAGTATTTATAAATTGTATACAAGAATTATTCTAATCAAGTATTGTAGAAAGATCCACCATAATTAATATATGGAAAAAAAACAGAGACAATCCCATGCAAGTCAACATGTTGACACACTTTTTCAGAGTTGACACACTTTTTCTCATCAGCAATACCTACAAATGATGCACCACAGATTACCATGAATACAATTGCAATAAGAAAGCAAAAGTTTACTCAACTAACAAAAATGAGGATGTTTAAAATGTGAAGTCAAAAGTAGTGCATATCTGATGCAGAAGGGGGAAAAAAAGGTCAGAAGAACCTTGGAACACAACTAGAAGGCAGAAATTTAATGGAAACAACGCAAATCGCAATTGAACAATAAATCATGAGTGAAAAAGAACCACCCTTGCTTGTTGCAACCCAGTCAGTGGGAGAAACAAGTTCACAGCAAAACATTTCATTTCACAAGTAACAACAGACCTGATCATTCAAATCAGAATCTTGGAACAAAAACACAGGAAACAAAAACAACAAATATAATGAAACCAGAGAAAGAATAAATCAAAAGTATTATGAGGCCAATGAACTCGCAAACCAAGATTAAAAAACAAATGGCTCGCTTTGTGCTTTACAATTCTCTGGGTCACAAAGGGAACATTCATTAATTATACAAAAATAAATTTCATAACCAATACAATTTGAGGAAATGAGCCATCTCCAATCTACACAAATCAATTCAACACCACGACACCTCATTAGCAACGTATCATTCATTATCTCAACCAAACACTTTTAACCGCATGCTGCCACCAATGTTAATGATGTAATGGGTCAGGAATGTTCTACCAAAGACAACAAACAATTAACAAACAGAATCAAATGATGACAAACCAGCACAAACTGGAACTAACACAACCTTCCATTTGGGGAGGAAATCAAGGTAAACCACATACAGTATGCAAGTTAGAAACTACACATCAGCCACAGGAGCCTCTTCGACTCCTTTTAAAACTGCTGCAAGCCAATCAGAAGCAAGTGCTTGGATCTCGGGCTCCACTTGCAACTCCAAATATAAAGGAGTAACAGTTACCTAAACCACGTCAAAAAAAAAGAAAGGAAACTGTTAGCTAATTGAAGCATGAAACTTTATTATGAAATGAGAGGTACAAATACTTACAAATCCCTCCTCCAGGGCTCTGAAATCAAAATCATCATCCATAGCTTCCTGCTCCTTCTCAAGAAACTGCAAATTGAAAGGCATGATTGATTTATCCACTTGCTTTATATGGTACATTTGTTGTGAAGCACACAGATGTAGGGTTAAATCCATAAAGGGGCCACATGGTGAGAAAATTTGAGTGATCTTGAGCTAAAACCTAGCCATGTACTGATATGAACAACCCTTTCTCTTGGAAGAAGTCGTTATCCACAGAAACATATAGATAACAATTTGTACCACTCATTACTGTAAGATTGGCTAAAATTCCATCAAGATATATTTTAGGAAAAGTCTTACCTCTAGTCGGAAATACTTCTTCAGCACTTCTCTCTGCTCAGATTTTCCAGCAGATGCAACTGATTCTATTTCTACAATTTTCCTTTGAGCACCAGTGCGGCGGGCCGCTCCCTGCAAAGTTTAAATTCTTCAGAAATAATGGGGGGAAAATGTTCATATTTAAAAGGCAAATATACTTACCGCTGCAGAGGCATCTCGGCCAAGCTGTGCAAGCTGGATACCAAGGCTTTGGTGCATAGACATGAACTGCCCTGCGGCAGGATGTCTATTTGCTGAGACAGCTTGCCAGCTTGATGTGTATCTCCAAAGGCTCTGTCTGGTCAGCTTAAAGCCCTATCATTTATGACAACAGGACGTAAGAAGTGTAAAAGAAAACATATCAATAACAACAAACATAATTAGTACATGAACTACAAGTTATTATACGAATCATAGTCTGTTTAATCAACAATAACTAAAAATCATTGAGTACTTTCGTCGTGGTCTACTGCCATAGAAGTTCGACAAAGGGCCAGGATGCGACCACTTTCGGGTGGTATGCAACCCACCATATGCCTCTCTATTTCAACCATTTTTTACCAGTTTGGACTGAACACAAAGACTGTAACCCTCAATCCAGGAGATCCAGTTCACGAAACCCTAGACAGAATGCAAGCACAGAGCAACGAGTAATAAACCAAGACCACTCTATTTACTCCCATAGGCAGAATGAAGACATGTAAGAAACAACCTTGCAATTTCACTCAAAGCTGCAATGTGTCAGCAAAGACATCATAAAGAGGTGAGTGCCCTGTAATCAATAGGGATGAATGGTATTAATTTGTTCAACATCTTCCTTGCAATATATATACTTTAAATGATCACCCTGCCATTCCTACTCACAACCACCTTTACAGATTAACACATCAAAACATAAACTATGAATTGAGTTTGAGTTTTGACAAAAAAACCTTAAAGCTCAAGTTCATATCCATCGAGTACCCTCAGACCGAATCCAGTGTTTCTTGAACAATGTTTGAGGTTAATCTTATGCATTTTCCAAAACAAACTATCAACAAATCTGGTTCACAGATTAATTTTATATCAACAGAGTTCACCATTCAAGAGCCAAAACCCACAGATTACTGATGTCTGCTCAATTATTATATGGCATGACTCCTGAAGAAGCATGCATCAAGGGAATGCAAATTCTCACTGGAAACTTCCAATTAGTCTCTGCTAATTTTAATGGTCAGCATAAATCCTAATTAATCATCATAATGTTTGCAAACACTTTCTGAGATTGCATATGGTGGGGCATATGTGCTTAATAATGGCATTGATACTACATGACAAATATCAAAATAATTACCATCAATCTTTTTAATAATTTTATAATTGAGGACAACATAGCTTAAATGTACCTCTCTTTTATAACAAAATGTCTAGCATAGACATAAGTATCACATGGGTGAATATCGAAAGAAAAAGAATGTATGACAAAAAAAACTCACCAAAGATTATTCATCATCATGCAGTGTTTGATAGAATGACAACCATCCGGGTTGTCGATAGAAAATTTCATATTTATTACAAGGAAAACAAATCAATGCCACTAAATCTAGTCATGTTTTATTTCTGTTATTAGAGGTCAACAATGGAAATGACATCCAAGATAGTAATCAAAAGCATTGACCAACTATCCAGCAGTATTCAAATTTAGTTAAACTTATTTTATATGGAATACTTTAAAAAAGGTACTGAGATACATCCAAGGATTCCACAAGCACGAATATCCATTCCATAAAGATTTGTTTTACAGTCATGGCATGCATTATGAAGTATTTGCACTTCATGGCTTTGAGAATGAAGGAAAAGCACTGTCATCCATGTGAAGAAAAAAAGAAACAAAGAATGTTGCTACAACATGATGTTAGAAAATATTCACTGTAAAAACAAGTTTAACTACAGATCTTCCAACATCAAGTATGAATCATGAAGCAAAAAAAAAAAAACAGATCTCAAATGTATGTGAATATATGTAGACACATTAAAAGTAAGTGCATATATATAGGCATGAACGCTTCATGGAATTCAAACTCCAAGGAGACTTTATTGGGCTTCAGCAAACCTGGTTGGCAGAGGGAGCTGTGGGGATTTCTATGTTCAGCAGACAGTTTTTTGGAAAAGTCCCCTTTTCGATGTCCCCGAGTGCAGCATTTATCAGCGGTAAACAAACATCAACCGCATCCTTGAAATCGCTTTCTTGACTCTTGTCCTTCTTCCTGACAGAAGCAATCAAATACTGACGGGTTAAATATAAGGATCGCCGGTCAAGATTGACCATCCTATTAGGGAAGGCATTATTTACCAGTTCAATGAAATTACAAGTGAAGGAACTCCACAAACTAAAGCCTCTCTGGCACCAGCAACAGCACCTGAGTAGAAGCTGCATGGAATTCCACAAGATAAAAAATGGTCTCCAGATAGTTAAAAAGGAAACAAAGCATCAAACAGAAGGAAGTACGATGCTGGAAAACAAATTCTGCTCATTTGAACAATTAAAACGATATGACGTAATGTTAAAAGATGGGAGTGGAATACTTACGCGTGATGACCACAATTTGAACCCTTGTTAATTCCACTGATGACCTATACAATGAACTAAGTATTCATAAAAATTCAAAATGATCTGCATATTTGTCTCCGCACAAAAACTTAAGAATGTAAATTTACCAGTGTGGGCTTGGACCATGAGAATAATGCACCAGATAAAGCTAAAGAGACGCAGTCAGCAGGAGACCCTGTCCACGAAGATGACTTTTATAATTGCTAAACAACTAATTTAGCTCAGTGCTTCTTGAAAGTCAAAACTTGACATTAAAGATGCAAATCATTATACAATAGTATCACCATATAGCTATCAGCACAATGAAGTCAATTCATGTTTTTCAACACAACAGAATAGAGAGAAATAACAGGAGGAGTTCCCGAGGGATCCAAAATTGATCTTACCCGAAATCTCAAAAGCTGTGGCACCTTTAATATCCGCAGATGTTGCTGCAACCGTTTGATGAAGAGTAATTGAATGACCAGACACAGATTTGTCCCTTCGTAAAATAAAACAAGAATTATCGACGTCACTGTCGTTACAAATAAGTGACAAATATAAAAATTTCAAGCAATCTAACAGGGCTAAACCAACAAAATTACACCAACCTAAAATAACTAGGTTATTCTTAATAAAACAAAAACAAATTAAGAAGAACAGACAGAACTCAAAGAAAGGAAGAAGGCATTGTCATTCACGAGAGGTAATAAAACAGATTAATAATTTGAATAACCAAGATAGCAAGATATCTGGCACCCGAAAGGAGAAACGGAACGGAGCCAGAAACTTGCACACAGCGCCACGACCAAAAAATCCCCCAAAGAATCGGCCTTTAAAGAAAACCCATCGCAAAATCAAATCCTTACCAAGAAACCTAACAAAGCAGTCGAAATCAAAAAAGGAATAAAAGAAACGAAGCTCGTCTTTGTTAAAATCCAAATATATCATTGGGAAAACAAATATTTACCAACAAACTCAACAAAGCAGCCGCACTCAAGAAAAGAAAGAAAGGAACGAGGCCCAGCTCCGCAATCCAACAGATTCAGCAGGAAAGAGGCGAGAGAACTCACGAATCGGGGGCGCAGACATGGACATCGCTTTGTCCCTCGCGAACAAGGGCCTCCACGAGAAGGGTGAGGCCGGGGGAGCCGATCCCGTCGGCGTTGGTCACAAGGACCACGGGTTTCTTCGATCCATCTGCGGCGGCGGCGGAAGCGGCGGCAGCGGCGTCAGCCGCGGGAGCGGAGGACGAGGACGGAACACGGAGGTCCTCCTCGGCCGCCGGCTTGGAATCGACTTCACCGCCGTCTCCGTTTCCCCCGCCGGCCCTTCTTCCGGCGAGGACGTTCTGGAGGTTCGCGACGAGGTTTGGGGGCAAATGGTTGTTCTTTTTGGATTCCGGATCCGTCATCGTCGTCGCCCGAGAGCAATCAAGCAATCGAAAGCAAAGGAAGAAGGGAGGAGGAGACGAGAGAGACGAGAGATTTCAATGCAAAGAAAGGGACAGCGGCCGAGGGATTTCGTTGGATATATCCGAGTCAAGAGGAGCCAAAGGCGATAACTTTAGTAAAAAAGAGAGAGAATGAGATGGAAAAGGAACGATGGAGAAAAATATACAATTTAGGAAAATTGTATTACGTGACATTGCAATAAATTAATAATTAAAATATTATATATATATATATATAAGATAATACATAATGGCTAATCTATCAAAGCGCAAAGACGTGATCCTAACTACAATCTTACAATAATCTATCAAAATTAACTAAACTAATTAATGCCTTTAAAATAAATAATAATAATAAATAAATAAATAAATTATGCCTTTAAATTATACATTTCTTCCAACACTAATTGAAAGATAACACCACAACTGTTGATTGCCTTTTAAAAATTAAAAATAGTATTTTATTTGGGAAAATAAAATATTTTTGATGCTCATTGTTTTGACTTAATAAGTGAACAAAATGTATTATTTTATTTAAAAAAAACTATTTTTTATTATTTTAAATAAATTCTATCGAATATTTACGATGGCAATGATAAGTAGTAACATTACGACTATTTGTGTCGACTAGACTTATGAACACATTGAGCGATGCATATCACTACTAAAATACTAATAAAAAAATTGAAGTACCAATTTTTAAGGAAAAAAGACATTATTGGATCAATCAAACCTAACATGCAGTAAGGTTCTTTGGTCCGGCATTCACTAAGTGGCTGCCTTCATGGAAATAGGACACAAAACCTTTTATTAGAACCACCACATATTTCCAAACCCAAGTTAATGGATCCATGCACTGTTGTTTCACGATGGAGGAATGGGTAGGACATGCCTGAGAGAGGACCAGTCTCGGCGACATCAAAGCATTAATAGAACAGCAAAGGGAAAAGTGGAAGACGAAGATTAAAGAGCGATAGCGATGCCTCTCTTTTGTACCAAAGCTTCTCTCGTCTCTGTCATCGTCAGGGCCACCTGATTCACGTCATGTCATTTTAGGGTTCATGTGGGACTGAAGAACTACTGGGTAGCACTTGGAACCCCACCACTAGAAGCCATGCGTATGTATGCTTGGTAGATGAAGGTTGGGTGCAAGCCTTATCTTCTTGTTTGGCCAGATCCATTCATTCATGAAAGGTTTTGACATCATTGACGAGCATCTTCTCCCAGCTCTAACCACACCTGCAAAGGCTAAGAGCTGAACCTACCTGCTAATGATCATTATATCATTTGATGTAGATGTAAAGTTTATAGTTTATGATGACAATATTTATATATGATGAACCTATTGTTAGCTCTATGGAAATTAGTAAGCATCAAACTAATATTTTTAAGTATAAGATAAAAGAAGATATAAATTTAAATTCTCAATATAATGTAAACGAGTCAAATACATCATTACCATATAAATATCTCATACGTCTGAGCTAATAGTGGCATAAGTAAAAAAGAAGAAAAATCACCTCATCATGCAAACAAGAATTAAAGTATATATAAATGAATTAAAGTATATATAAATAATCCTACAGTTTTCTAAACAAAAATGCTAAATCCTTGTCAAAAATATAATATATGATGTAATGTTTTGCATCACAGAAAAAGGAGCAGCAGAAGAAGCATCTTAAAACATGACAAGTCTTCTCAGAGTACCTGCAGATTCTGAAATCTGATCTGAAGTCCAAAGACTTGTCAGCAAACAGATGTTGGTGTCCTGCAGATCCATGAAGCTTACTCCTTTTCTACTGCAAGAGTTAGAAGTGCAGCAGTAAGTGTTGCTTCATTCTTCTTCGTTCTGTCCTCCATGACCAGCTCAGTGTGTTGTTTAGACACAGCTGTGCTATAAAGCTTGCTCTTCATGATGATGAGACACAGACTGTCGATTAAGAAGTGCAGCAGCTGTGCTATAAAGCTTGCTCTTCTGAAATATTATTATGTAATATTTGTATATTATAAAATGATAATTTCTTTAGAAATACGTTCGATTAAGAAATTCCACGTAAGCAGCTACCCAAAAAGGAAACACGGCGAGGGAAAGACGAGAGAAGCTGCGCGGGGTCTCCTTCGGACTCTGCTGGTTTGGTCGCCACGGTGCGAGTGTCGAAGCCTATCTGGCCATGGAGGCTGCCGGAACCTTCTGCGAGTCCCGCATCACTAGCGGTGGCAGCCTGTGCTACGCCGCGCCTGTCGCCGCCGAGGTGGCCGCGCTCAGCCGCCTGTCGGAGCACCTCGGATCCCTCCTCCGCACCCCGGGCCTGGCCTTCTGCTCCGACGCCCGCATCACCGTCCGATCCGCGGGCGGCGATCCCCCGCACGAGGTTCCTGTCCACCGCTGCGTGCTGTCCGCGCGGAGCCCCTTCTTCCGCGACAAGTTCGCGGCGGGGGCGGTAGCGCTCGAACTCGGAGAGGTGGTGGCCGGATTTGAGGTCGGGTGCGAGGCGCTGGAGGTGGTGCTCCAGTACGTCTACACCGGTCGGCTGGAAGAGCTGCCCAGGGGCGTGGCGGAGTGCGTCGACGAGACCTGCCGCCGCCATGAAGCCTGCTGGCCCGCCGTCCATTTCATGCTTCGGGTGCTCCATGCTGCCTCCACCTTCGAAATCAACGAGCTCGTCAGTCTGTTTCAGGTAAGTGTTAAATGACCTAACCTAGACCCGATCAATTGCTTTCGGAGAGACCGAAAGAGAGGAAAACTTGATCTCTATCCTATTTTCTGATCTTTGCTATCAAATGATGGATTGATTCACTTCTTGCTTGCTAGATTATGGCTTAACCGATATTTTCTTCATTGTTCCGTGTGGCATTTGGTGCCTTGTATCAGTAGGATGATTGACTTGATCATTGTTGTACAACATCCTGAAGTGGTTTCTCATATGCCTAACACATATCATGAACTGCTTTTCATGATTTGATTCAACTTGAAACTAATAGGGTGAAAGAGTGGTCAGGTACGACTGGTGTCAAGGTTGAATCTTCATCAAGGAATGCTCTTGTTGTTGTTGTAGCACAAATCTTCTTTAGGACTCTTAAGACCTTGTAAATTTAATGAGAACTCGTCTAGCTGCACATGTCATTTCCAGCAGTTCTTATAGTAGCCTTCAACTGTGGCCTTCAAATTGGATCGATCCAGTTAAGAATCCCTGCTTCTTTCCCTGATGTGGCAACTATATCAAGTGTGAGTGATCACTCAGATAATTTATCCATTGCAATCAACTTTTTCTCATGCTACATATAGAAGCATCATCCTATGAAAATGTTTATCATGCAGCGTTTACTAATTTATCCATTGCAATCAACTTTTTCTCATGCTACATATAGAAACATCGTCCTATCGAAAATGTTTAACAAGCAGTGTTTACTAATACAAGATTTAGGAGACTTTCTTTTTGTTGAGTCAGCTCAAGAATTATCATGTCATTCTAATCTGTTTTTGAGCAAGCAGTGCTTCCAAAAGAAAATATTGACCATGTCAAATTACTCCAATGTTCTAGACATACTTAGTTTACAATAAGAATAGATGACTCGGTGCCTGCTTGAATGTTGTTAGGCATGTCATCATGTATTGCCACTAGTTTATCACTTTTTCAAGAACAAACATATTAATGCATATCTTTCTTGCCAAATATTTTACTTTCTTGAAGATATGTCTATCAACAGCCTTCATTTACTGCAGCGGCGGCTCCTTGACATTCTTGAGAAGGTAGCAATGAACGAAGTTCTATCGATCCTATTTGTTGCAAATCTGAACTATAAGCTTTGTCAGAGATTATTTATGAAGGCCATTGATATGGTTGTCAACTCGGATATTAGTTATATAACCCTTCAAAAAAAGTTGCCTTCAAATGTTGTCAAGCAAATTAAGCAGTCTCGCTCAAATTTGGGATTGGATGGACAAGAAAACTTCAAATTTCCTGATAAGCATGTGAAGAGCATATATGGTGCTCTTGATTCAGATGATATCGAATTAGTCAAGTTGCTTTTGGAGGAGGGACATACTACTCTGAACGATGCAAAGGGTCTACATTATGCAGTGGCTTCCTGTGATTCAAAAATTACAAAGGAGCTTCTGGATCTCGGGCTCGCAGATGTTAACAGCAGAGACCACCAAAATTACACCGTGCTCCATGTTGCTGCAATGCGTAAAGACCCTGAAATCATAATGTCTTTGCTGACAATGGAAGCTCGACCACTTGAAATCACATCAGATGGACGAACAGCACTTCAAATCTCCAAGAGGCTTACCAGATCTACAGACTATTATAGGTCAACTGAACAAGGTAAACCTTCCCCAAGGGAACGATTGTGTATTGAGATGTTACAGCGGGCTGAAATGATAGAGACATTCACAGAAGTAACTTCAGTACCAGTTGAGATGACCAGTGATAACTTGCATGAGAAATTATTGTATCTTGAGAGCAGAGGTAATTTACCATAGAGTGCAGACAATGTTTTTATGAAGTAGTATTGCAAATTTTATGTTCTTCATTTGCCCCTCACCTTGTGGTATTTGCTTTATCAATGATGCACTAATTTGACTTTCCATGTCACATCTAGTACCAAACCCATTGTCCACGCATGAAAGCAACTAGTAAAAAGACCAACTTTGCTCCACTTCATGGATATAATAATTCCTTATTTTGGGGTGGGAATGGGGGATTTTGTTATGGCTGATTTTAGGTTTTTCTTCATATCCTCATAATGTCTATATAAGTTGTTCAAGCTGTATTTTCTCTTGATGCAGTTTGGTTAGCAGAGCGCTTATTTCCAACAGAAGCAAAAGCTGCCATGAACAATGCTAATGTGGATGGTACACTAAAAGTTCACTCAAGTTGCTTGACGCACCTCTGTGCTGGGAACAAGAGGTCTGCTGAGGATGTTGTAAAAGCATCTTTTAGAATGACAGAAGAGAACTTATCCCGGATGGAGGCTCTAACTAAGACAGGTACCTTTCTTGGGCAAGCAATTATCTTTCTTTCCAAAACTCGAAAGACAAACATACAAACTCACCTGCTTAAACCCACAAGGGAACTGGTGAGACAGAAACAGTACATACAGGTGCAGTTAGAACTATTCAAACATCTAGTGGACCAGCTATATAAATCTACTTCTTATACCTTTTTTCATAGAATTTATAATCCTATATTCCTTGCTGAATTCCTTTTCAAACTTCCTCCTATTCCTTTCAGTTCAAACATGATATACAATTTCTGGAAAAGCTGGTTTCCTGAAGTGAAGTAGTTCTGCTTTTCGTCTGCAATTCTTAATAAACCAACTCAAGTCTTCGTTCAAGTGTTCTGCCTCTATTGGTTTTACAAAACTTTAACGTAATACCCCATATATCTCCAGAAACTGCACAGCAGAAAAATAGCTGAACAATATTGTCTGAAGCACTCACTGTCAGCACATTGTGAATTTCTATCTTGTGTTAGTAGTCTACCATTCATTCCAACCAAATGATTGAAGAATGCCCTGGGATATTCCCAAAACATGAAAGAATGCCCGGGGATGCTCCTGTTTGCCCATGCAACTAACGCCTTTATTACTCCATTTTCTTATCAATTCCAGGCCTTTTTGAAATTGACTTGGTATATTTGTAGGCAACCATATATGTCTTGACTATTACCATGATATCTTTATTTGTATTTTTCCATATATTCTCATATGTCCAGGTGGTCAATACCTCTATTGTCGACAGTAACTTCTTATGTTGTAGTTTGCAGACATATAATCAGATCCAACCACTTCTTATGTGTCCAACCATCTAATTTTTGAGCCATCAAAAAACCAATTGTCAAATCAGTACAAAGTTTCTTTTTTCGTTACACGACTTTGGGCCACAGTATTCCCAAGCTGAATTTCTTATTTTAGTCACTTGCTCTGTAACCAACATATTATCTTTTGGAGTTTTCATACTCCAATCAGTAGAGATCTATCTTTAATCTTCAATTTTCATTATCAATTTGCATATAGAAGGAACTTTATAAAGTACAAACCACAAGTTCTTTTACATTGCAACTTTGTTCCAGACCTCAACATTCTTTCTTTTTTCCTTGCATTCTTCTTTCCAAGCAACCAAAGCATGTCCATTCTTCATTCTCGAACTATTCATAAGGAAAGTTTGTACATATCAGATCATTTGATTAATAAGTCTTTTTGGTGAAATGAAAAGCCTGCTCCAATATATTTATGGGCTGAAAAAGAACAAGTTTGACAAGTTTCTCCTATACATTAGCTGAACTTAGTTGTGTATGGTCATCCTTCCAAATAAAAATTCAGTATCCTCTGTACTTAATTTTTTAGACATGAGCGGAACTCCTAGATATCTCACTGGTATAGAACCTTCTTCAAGTAGCATGAATGACAGAGAAGTCATTCAAAGACTCACTGATGAACCTGAAATCACAGATGAGTCGTAGAGATATTAACTTGTTGAGTGAGTCCATCATGGAGATACTAACTTATCTGGTGACTCACTGATGAACCTGGAATCACAGATAAGTCATTCAAAGACTCTTTTAAGACCCTGATTGAGTTTTCATTTCCATTGCTAAAAATAGCAACAAATCATCTGTGTGATATAAAAGTGAATTCTAAAATTTCCTAGGCATGGAATATAATTTGAAGTCCCTTCTTTTGATCACCAACTTCAATTTCCTTGAAAGATATTCTGCTGCCATAATCCATTTAATCATTACAGAGATCCTAAAAGGAAGTCATCTTGTACACAAAGTCCCAGTTAATCATAGCCCTTTTAAGTCTACACCTTGAGGAGATGAATGTTCTCGATATCCTTTAACCAATTCATGGACCAATGAAATATTATCAGCTGTCCTTCTGCCTCATAGTAAAGCCGATTGACTCATACTGATTATCTTAACCATGATCCTTGTTCTTAAAAATTGAACTTTGTAATGCATTTGTACAGGGCAGAATTCAGAAAAAGTTGTTGGATGTTTATTTTGGGTATTAAGATGATAGTATTTGCATTTAACTCCCTGAATAGTTTGGAACAATGCTGCACAACTCTTTAAATCTTCCCAAACTATGTCCCATCTATTTTGATGAATATCAGTTGTCTCATGAAAAAAATGTACAGCGGTAGCAGCCTTCATCTGCACTAATTTTGACAGTTGTGATTGATGCAGCATTTCAACATGATCTACATATAATACTTTGTATTCCACAAATCACTTGTGCAAGTATTAATTGATTTGGATGTTACTACGCAGTGCAACTCGGAATGCATTTCTTCCCACGGTGTTCCAAGGTAATCGATAAGATTCTGGGAGATGATCTGTCCGAGCTATCTATAGTCGAGCACATCAACACCGAAGAGCGAAAGAACAGATACACTGAGATTTTGGAAGAGATAAACAATGCGTTTACCCAAGATAAAACCGCGTTTGACAGATCTGTCTCCTGCTCAACTTCATCTTCTAAATCTGCACGAGCAGTTAGGAGCAAGGCTGCCAGAAAATGACATGGGACATATTTTTCTCCTCATATCAGCAGGTCCTTTCTCTTTCTTGAACCTTTGCTTGCTTTGTACTCGTTTCAAGGATGAGTTCCTTTCTTTCTTTGTTTGGAGGTGGAAAGTAGCATTGCCGTACATATATACAGATGTTCCACAAGAAGTTTCTTGTTTGGTGTTAGTTACAGATGATTAACATTATTCACCTATTTTTACAGAAACATTTCAATTCATCAGAAGCTGAACATGCTTGGATGCACTGAACTTGTACAAGAATGGATAACACAGTCCACGCACATGATCGTGTGGGATGGATGGACTTGAATTCTGCACACCAGCGGAATCGCTAGAGTGAGGAGTATCTTGGTCATTGCCCAAGTACTTGGATATGTAATTCCAATCTTTTGTATCATAACTCGAAGGAGACAGTGGAGCTTGCCTCTTCAAATGCTTAAGCCAATCAACACACCATAACTCCATCATCGAACAGCTACACCAATAATATCAATGTGGAAATTCTTCAGGCAGCAGCATGAGCCGAGGATGATTTCTCTCTAGCAGTAACTCTTAACAAAGTCCATCGTGTCATATGCTGTAAAATCTGTGATGGAATAATTGTGATGAGATGAGGTTAATTTTGCTAGTTTTATCGTAAAAAGTAACATGAAAAATGTGATTATTGTAAATGTAATCTAGCATTTTGTTAAAATCACATTTAATTACCATGACTATGACACTCGTTTGATTCCTCTGATCTCGCAATGTAATCAATTCATCATGCATTTAGCTACAAACTTGTGTCAATAACTATGTATCACTTCAACATGTTTAGCTGCCTTCTATGTGTTGTGTTGTTCTTTTCGTTGGATCCTTCGGTGTATGTTTGCCTTGGTGTAACCCTCATGACTTCTCCAACTAATGTACTTGTGGTCTGTGAAGAATTGAATCTCAGCAAACATGGAAAAATGATAGGCTACATTTCTTTTCCTTTGTTTTTGGAGAGAAATGATAGGCCGGTTACTATGGGACTGAGAGGCAGTAACGCGAGATATAGGGTGAAGAGATCTGTGAGGAACTCCTTGTAGAGGACAGTATAACAAAGTGATCCCAAAGAACAGCTTCTTAAAGGACATCTCATATCCCGGCTCTAAAAATCGTTCAGGCACATCCTGTAGAGCTCTCTCTATATTTCTTTCTTACTTTTTATTATTTCTTTTCCCGCATGAAATTATCTTTTTTTTTCTGCTCAAATACGGACATTGCTTTCATGTCTCATTCTTTATCAGTGTTGGAGAGCATTGAAAAAAAATCTAAATATTAGAAATCAAAAAATAAATCATAAAGTCAACATAAATACCAAATATGAGCCGGGCTAATTAACCTATCAATTTCGTTTGATCTAAATCACTGATCAAAATGCTTAAATTGAAATTAATAATAATACACTCATCATATCCTTATAAGTCAATTTTAATCTTGTCCATTTTTCGATGTGAAACTAATTGAGTGTTACACCCCTCCCCCGAATAATCTCTCAGCCCAATTTTAGATTCACTATAGAATAATCTACGCTATTACTCACATGAGGCAGAGGCAAACAGACAGAAAACGATGATCCAGAGAAGCCCAGGATGACCAGAACAGCTACTCTGATGTGAATGCACGATGGGAGAGTTGTAGTCAAAACAGAGGATCTGCACAGGGAGTTGAACGCATGATGTTTGACTCGGTTATCAACACTCCATAGACCAGTTTGTCTTTTTTTCTTATATTTCAATTTTATTATCCTGATTAATTGATTAAAATATATTGAGATTTTAATTAGATTCTGCTTAAATTTATTATCCTAATCATATTATTCTTATATTTCTATATCTTTGCTCTCGTTTATATATAGTTAAGACCTTTTATGGATCATATAATCATGGATATTTCTTCACTCACCAATAAACCTATTGCTCTATTAATTATAGGATCAAGAGAGAAGAAAATAATGTAAAATGTAGCTTCTTTGTTATGCAAATTCATGAATCGTCATACGGTACAGATTATGAAATGATATGTTACTTTACGACATACGAGAAATTCTAGATATGCACTTGACATAAAATTAATTTCAATCTTGATATAAAATTTTTATATAATAGTTTTATTTCTTATCATTTGTATGAGAGTGATGTCATTAAATTTTAAGTTACCGTAGATTGTCAAGGAATCTAGATCTATTTATGTTTATATCCATCTTAGATCTATTTAAATTATATTAAATTATTATTGTTTCTATTCCGATCGTATAACACTTACATCACACTTACAATTATATTACATTATCTCCCTGTCTTTAGGACATTGTATGTATTCATACTCGTCTTCCCCTTTATTTTGTTTTCATATTTGTAAGTATTAAAGATTTCCCCACCGTCGAGGCGTAGTTACTATGTTCCGGCATTAGAAAGATATTGCTCTATTTTGATCAACAATGTGCCATTAATAATTTGTCGTCGACGGTGACATAACGAAGGGTGATGACCTATTGTGTTCGCTAGTCCTACATCGGGTAATTGTCGTATTGGGAGATAATGTTACTGTGACATTGTTGCGGTAGGAGTTTATAACCCACATGATGTGTTGAGCTTATCAAGGATGACTATCGCATATAAAGCACGAATGAGACTCTTGTAGAAATCACATGAATATCTTGCATGTAGGGTCATCGACTTCAGTAGGAATCACAGTTCAGTATCGACAGGTTACGGGTTGATGGCAATGGCTTGTTTTTTAAATTCATGTAGCATAAATATTTTTTAAAATTTTTAAATCTAATTAGGGTAAAATTATTTTTAAATAAATTTTATTTTATTTATTTTTATTTTAACTCTTTTATATCTTATCGATTAACGGGCAAAATAAAAAGATATTATATTTTAGATCCTAATTAATTGATTAAGATATTTGAGATGATATGAGATTTCTTGTCTTAATTTTCAATATATTTTTGTTCCATTAATTATAGTAATATTTTAAATAGAAAGAAATATAGATTATAGTATGGTGTAAACACGTTCTATTGTTTCTCGATATTAATATATCTTATTTATTATCGTGTTCAAATAATATACGTAAGATACTTGATTTCAATCTGTCACATAAAATTTTCATATAATAATTTTATTTCTTACATCCATATCAGCGACTACTTGTGTTTCTGCGTCTGAAACCGAGAGCAATTGTCCAACGAAGACTATGACCTCAAGTTAAGTCGCAGACTCTGCACACAGAATAATTTCCACGTCCTAAGTTCCATGGAAATTTCGATGTAGCAGTTTGAAGTGCACCGGAGTTTGAATCTTCGCTAAGCCTTTGACTCATGCGAGTTGACTCGATGACCGTCATAAAACACCACAATTAAGATGCCCACATAAACGTTCATGATATTTCGACGGTCTCATGATTTAATTATTATTTGTAGCTCGTAAGAGGCAGCAATGTTGGCAGCGTTTTCGTTTTGTGTTTGTGTTTTTCTCTTTGTGTTGCGTAAGAGCAAGCCTTACGGTGACGTAGGGACGGGTGTGGATTATCCGGTCAGAGGAGGAAGCACGCGTATGGTCAGATTTGCTCGGACAAATTATACTTCCATACGGTAAAAAAGAGGCCGGAAAAATCTATCCTACGTTGGAACACAAGTCAACGGTCAATCCCTGCCAACACTCGGGGGCGCAATTCCAAACCCACGTACCCTCTCTCTCTCTCTC